TGTGTGTGTGTGTGTGTGTGTGTGTGTGTGTGTGCGTGCGCGTGCGTGTGTGCCTGCGTGTGTGCGTGTGAGCGCTTGCAATGTTGTGTACTGGCCTCGGTGGGATGTCTGGATTGGAATGGGTGGGTCAGGCGGGTTTGAAAGGCCGCAGTGGATGCGCAGATGCTTGGCAGCGCGCTTTCTTGACCGCACACCCCTGTTGCGCTGGCCCCCAACTACCCTCTCCAATGCCATGCGCAGAGGGCCTCACATATTGATACGCAGCATTGGAGCAGGAGTGACGGTTTGACCGCTGGCAGGTGGCTCACTGAGTCAATGCTCGCCAGCGCGTCCCTTTTTGAGGCAACAGCATCCAGGCAGTGCACAGCTTGCAGGGCTGCGGAACGCAGTCGCATCTTTGCAGGAAGCCCCGCATGCAATCTCGCAGCCTTTTCACATGCAACGTCAGTTGCCAAGTGCCCGAACTTCTCAGCGTTTGCAGCCGTCACATCGCACAGTTACTGTAACCGAAAGAAAGACAGCGACGCCCACATCAAGGAAAACAAGAGGGGCCTCGCTGTTGCCAGCGGGCTTTGAAGAACTTGAGAGAGCCGAAGGGGTCTTCGATGGCGGGAGTGGCAACCTGGCAGCGCAGACAAGTGTGGGGGGCCCAGGCACGCGGCAGCTTTTTGGCCGCACACCCGGGCGAATAAAACGACGGAGGGACGTCACAGGTCTACATTTGGGGCTCGGCCTCTGTGCCGGGCAGCAAGAGGGGGCGAGCGAACCGGAGCAACCACTAGTGGGGCTGCGCGCCGCACGCGCGGCGCCCGCCACTTTGGGCGGCCGTTGAGGGGTCGCAGATCAGGGTCAAGGGCAGACGTACTTTCTTTGAACAAAACCGCCGCCACACAGAACAGATTGCTGCGCCGGCACGGCCGCAGCGGCGCACTTGCAGGCCGCGTCGCGCCGAGGGGCGCGGAGCGCTGCTCCGGCCACGCCTGTTGATGTGTGCTCCTCGCAATTGCGGCGGAGCACGAGGCTGGTAAGGGGGACGCTGCCGAGGACTGCAGGCGTGCAGACAGCAGGCCCCGGCCGGGCAAGTGCAATGCAATGCAGATCGCATGCTCAGATAGATTGCCTATCAAATAGGTATGACTACAACCCAGCAAGGCGACTGATGTGCTGGGCAGGCGAGGGTGGGTGGGTATTGTACACGTCAGCAGCCGTGCGTTGGGGTGTGCAGGTCGCTTCCAACCCTCGCGCGGCGCCGATCAAGGCAACGGATTCAGCAAACCAACACCGTTGCTTCTCCCTGAAACCAACCAATCCAAAATCCAAATTCGGATCGCAAACAATGCGGCCCGGTCGGCGCGTTCCTGCCCATTCTCATGGGCTGGTGGCTGACCTGTGCTATCGCGCAGTTCCGCACAGGCGCGAGGGGATAGCGATGGGCCGGCGGCCCTGTGCTGTTTTGGGCGCGGCCTTCCCTCCAACGGGCCTTGCAGGGGCTCCCACGCCCCGGGGCCAAGGTTTTCAGAAGAGCCTGGCACCCTGGGAAAGGTTTAGGGGCCATCACTGGTCAAAACGCACGCAGGGCTCGCGTGAGAAGCGCTGCGCGCCAAGGCGCTTCTGCGCGGCTGGCTAAGTGCCCATCGGCGGCCGTCGGGTGTCAAGATGGGCGCACGATCACCAGCTCAAGGAGCGTTTGGAAGGGGGATGCGGCAAGTTGGCCCAGAAAGAGGAGCCACGAGGCACTCTTGCAAACGATCATGGGTGCGCGCCATAGGACAGACCGCCCCCGCCTTCTACTCCAAACCTCTTCCGAACCGCCCCGCATTTGGCCCCCCGAGGGGACAACGCCATGGAAACAGTTTCAGTGGGAAGTTCTTTGCAGCTGGGAACTTCTCAGTGGGGAAGCTCCCCGCGGTCCTCAGTGAGCAAGGAGTCCATTACTGTGGCTACAGTGGACCCGGCGTCGCGCAGGGGGCCAAACACGGGGTGCACAGACTGTGTGAGGCACCGGTCGAGAACGAAGTCCACGACCTGCGGCGGTTGGCAGTTGGAGCGGGGCGGTTAGCAGCCACGAGGGTTGATCAGCAGTTGGGTGTGCGGCCGGACGATTTCCAGCGGGGCGGGGCAGCCAGCAGTGGCGATGCCGGGGCTGTTGCGGGTAGAAGTGGCACAGCGGAGCAAGCGTATTGCGATGCCCATTATTTGAGCCATGCCGAGGGTGGCTCCGGCGGCAGATTGTGCCTAGCCTCACCTCGTCAACCTTGAGCTGGGTTACGCCCGACGCGGACCGCTGAGTCGCCGTCAGCGACGACACGACCGCCTCGTGCACGCGCGCCCCCACCCCCCACCATGACGCGCCGCGTGCCGCGCTGGTCGAAAAGTCCGCCACCGCAGACGCCGGGGCCGGCGGCGCGGCCGCGAGCGCGGCGGCGGCGCCGATGCTCGCGGCAAAGGCGCCGCCGACGAGGGCGAGCTGGTCTGGTGCGATTGAAAAGACGGATTGCTCCCCGGTCTCGAAAAGGAGGGCGATCAGAAACCCGATCATGGCGCTGCGGCCCGCCAGGGCCTCGAAGCGCGCGACCTGGGCGCTGCTCTCGACGGCGGAGCTGAGGAGTGGCAGGATGCTGTCAGGGCTGAAGCGCTGCGGGGCGTCGGCGGGGCGAGCGAAAGAGGCGGGAAAGGTGGAAGGTGAGCTGGCGGTTGTTGGGAAGCGCGGGAGCGGGTGTCGCGGGCTGGCAAAGTAGGCAGGCCCCGACTCAAGTAAACGGACTGCTGCTGGGCAGCATAAAGGCATTGAAGAAGTACCAGCAGTCACCTGAGGGGGTGCGGGGCCAGCGTTGAGGCCGATCAATGTGGCAGGCGCGGCGACAGGGCGGCTCGGGCTGCGGCTAGTGCGGCTGGCGCCAGCGGGTGCGTAAGCGCGCACTGAAGTGCTCCGGCGGCGGCTGTGGCGGTTCGAGGTGCCATTGAGCAAGGCACGGGGGCCGTGGCACAGGCTAGACATGCTGGCAGCGAATAAGCTTGTGTGATCTGTGCGTTACGAGGCAGGCGCGGGCCGCGAACGCCCCAACGAGCTTATAGCGATGTTAAGAATCAGCGAAGGGAGAGGAGACGGGGAGAGCGAGATGCTGCGGAGAGTGGCGCCAAACGAGTGGTGGGTGCGGAGGCCGGAGAAGGCGCGGAGAACAAGAGGCGTGTCAAAGCTGATTCGGTAAGCTGAAAGTATGCGCAATGTCATGGTGGGAGACAGGAAAGCCGAACGGCAGCGCTGCCTGCGTCATTGCCGCCGGCAGCACGGTCAGCTTCAGGTGGTCAGCGCCTGGCAGTGCTTTTCTCGCGCACAACCCTATTGATGCCCCACAGGTCAAGGCGAACAGAGAATTTACAATGAAATCAAGTGAGATTGACAAATGCATCATTCAAGGCCGGCAGAGCGCCTCTCAGCGCCGCCGCCGTCAAGCCCAAGAAGCCCCTGCGCGCCAGTGCGGCGGCGCCTGGCACACCGCGCCGGTGCCGCCACCGCAACACAGACAGCAATTAAATCGTGGCCGCCCCTTCTGTCGCGTCAACATCATTCGCAGGGTGCCCATGCACCGCCAGCCGCTGACAAATCAGATCTTGAAGCCCTCCCGGTTGACCGCGGTCAGCCGCCCGTGCAGCACGTGCGCGTCGGCGTGCAGGCGGTCCACGGTGTGGTCTTGCCGGTGGATTTCGTCCTGCAACGTGGAATTTCAAGGGTAGTGTATGAGTGGGCGTGTCACTTGGAAAGAAATTGGCGTGAGGGCTCATCAAGTTTACTACCACCCTGTGCTGGGGAAGCGGGACGGCCGCTGCCGCGCCGCAGGGCGTGCTGCAAGCGCCAGCCACGGCGGCGCATTTGCGATGCCAGCCAGGAGCAAAACCCCAGGCGTGACCTGCCGCCGGCAGGTCGCAGTGGCCTCAGGGCCCTCAGGTGGTGGTTCAACATGAGCAGATGACAGCCCCCCGTGTGCGCTTGCACGCAGCGTGGGCCCTCGACAATGTGCTGCTGCCCCCCCGTCCCTGCGGCAGGCACCGCGCCGACCGTACCCAGCCCCGTAACTCGCCCGCCGCCCCATTGCCGCCGCTGCAGCAAGGGCGCGGCGCTGCGTGGCGCACCCGCATCGCCATGGCGCCATGCTTGAGCTGGTCCAGCCCCGACGCGATCTGGTCCAAGTACTCGTCCTGCTTTGCCGTCTCCTTCTGTATGACGCCCGCCTGCTCGCCATACCCGGCCTCCGCCAGCCCCGCCGTCCCCACGGGCGCAAACTGCGGCGGCGGCGCGCCGGCGCCGGCGCCGCCCGCGCCGCCCTTCTTGGGGCGCTTGATTGCCTTCTTATCGCCGTCGCCGGCGGCGGCGGCGGCCGCAGCGTGCGAGGGCGGCGGCGGGGGGCGGGGGACGCTGCAGGGGCGAGGAGCGAGGCGGGGCGGAGAGTTGTCAAATGCTGGGTGCGTGTCGCGCGCCGAAACAGGTGAAGAAGCCCCCGCCCTTTGCCGGCAGCTCAGTTGCCACCCCTTTCCCTGCATATCCCATGAACGGCACGTGACCTGCGTGCTGCCAGCCCTGTCGCGAGCCTGCGCCGCGCCACAGCCCCCGTGCCGCGCGTCCCGCGCGGCCCCGCACCCGCCGCTGCGCCAGTTGTTGTCAGCATTCTCCCTGTCCGGCTCGGTGCAGCTGGAGCAGAAGAACCCGACGCAGCAGCACATGCGCATGTAGCGCAGGATGCGCTGGCTGTAGGTCAGGTCGGTCCCAATCTGCAAAAGTGAGTTTGAGTGGGTTTGCGAGCGACGCTTTTACAGGCGGAAACAACTATTTGAGACTTGTTTGCCAACGGGAGGCTTTCAGTGCTTGGCTGGTGATGGGCATGAGGTGCCATTCGAGTGTGGTGACGGGTGGTTTTGCTGAGCCGGACGGGTACAGAGCGAGCCACGCCGCCACTGCAGGCCCGCATATGCGAGGCGTCATCCGCTGCTGACGCGCCCAGCGCGGCCCGGCGCAGATGCCTCGGCCCCACCTTGTCCATGCCATGGCCGATGCGGCGTATCTGCTGCCCCTGGTCCTGCAGCGCTCCCATGGTGGAGGCCTGCAGCTCCTTGGTCTGCTCGACAACCCGCAGCGCGCGCTTCGCCGCCGCGGTCGTCTCCTTGTGCTGGTCCACCGCGTGGTTCAAGATTTGCCGGCCATCCATATTCTCCAGGTCGTGTCGGCCGAGCTGCTGCTGCTGTTTGCCCGCGCCCGTGGCACCTAGCGAGGGTCCCTGCCCCGCTGGTGCTGCGCCTGCGAAGAGCTCTTCGCGGGCCGCCAGCTCAGGATTGGCCGCTGGAGTTCCTCCATACGTCATGCGCGGCCTCGCCATGCCCGCTGTCTCCCACTCTCGCGCAGAACGCGAAGGTCTTTCCGCTGAGGGCACGAACCTCCCGAGACAGCTGCTGTATATTGATGATTATTGGGACTTACGACATCGTGCTGTAGCCATCACGAAGCACTAGACGACCTTGGCGCGGGTCACCAGGCCACACCAGCCTACCAGTCATTGCAGCGGGAGACTCTGAGGGCCTTCAGGATGCCCGTAAGCAGGCGAGATGAGGGTATGAGAATTTGCTGAAGTATGCACATGCGCCGCCCTGCCCAGCGGCAGGCACGCCCGCAGCACCGTTGACACCATACGGCACTCCGACAGCACTTGGGACAAACTTTGACCTTGCAAGGACCCTGCCTTTAACGTTGCCAGGTTTAGGCACCCGATTGACCAGCTGCTTATCATGAGGGAAGTCGATTGTGGTGCAGGCAGGTGCCCGGCAAGTACGTGCGCAGGCTGGGCGGTCCAGGATGCCACAGCGTTGACGCAGATAGAGTTGACCAACATGGTGGGCCAATCAATGGGAGACCCGGAGTTGTGCTTGCCTGTGCAATTGCGGCAGCACCAGGACAATGCGCGACACTCAGCTCCCTGTGCACGCACAACCTGAGGTTGTGCTGTACATCCATCCACCCACATGGGCGCACATGAGTGCAGTGGCAACCCCATGCAGCTGATTGTGGCTATTACACGCCTGCCTGATGGCTTTGTTTGGAGAGCATGATTCTCACGGGGGTTGTCAGATGGATAATTGCTTATTCGCCCAGAGTGCGAGCGGTTGATGAGTCGGCTGCCTGATGAGTGGGGGACAGACACTGGCGGCATGTGCTTCAGGCGTTGTCGAGCGCACCGCACCCCAATTGCTTACCATCAAACAAAGTACAGTTCGTGACGTAATTAAGGCGACGTGCATAGCGAGAGTTCGCCTCATCTTGCGGCGACAGATCAGCGGTGCCAAGATGCGCAGCCTGGTGAGGCTCTACAAGAGTCGCGTTGCGGAGGCCCCTTTACCAAACTACCAATGGCAGTGGTGCCGTGACCTGTGCGATCTGGTGGCAGATCCGCTTTCGTCGTGGGGTTTGCAGCGAAGCCAGCGCGGTCCACTCTGGCCAGGAGACGCCTTGTGAATCCTTATCGTCATTCAGTTTTGGAACGCTGCCAGTGTGCGTTGGCAGAGTGCGCTGGTGGCGCACACGCGGTCGTGCCTCCGACGCATGCCCGCACATGTCAGCGCGCTTGCCCGCCACGCAATGCCCTGCGCTCCCCCGCCCAATTGTCTTGCAGGCATCCAGGGCGCAGACTGCCCCCACCTGCACGGGCCCCCGTCGCCAGTCGCGCGTAGCAGCCGTCCGCACAATGGCGTCCAGCCGCCTGGCAGGTGCGCTGCAGATTCGCCCCACTCCTGCCCCCTGCGAGCCATCCTGTCAGCTCCAAAAGCGCCCGCAGGCGCAGCAATGTAGCCAGCATCCCCTCCTGCAAAATTCTGCTGCAGCTTAACAGCACGTGAATGACACGCCGACAAACGCGCCTGCACCACGCGTGCACTCCTCCCCATCGCCCAGCGACCCCCATCCGCCAGCCCTGGCCCGCCTCCCTCCCCATTCTGGCCCCAACTACTCCGCCGCTCCCAACTCATTCCCCCTCCCCCCCCTTACAGGCGTCGACATGGCGCCCCCTGACCCCATCTTGGGCGTGAGCGAGGCGTTCAAGCGGTCCGCCGACCCCAACAAGCTTAACCTGGGGGTCGGCGCGTACCGCACTGAGGAGCTGCAGCCCCTGGTGCTGGACGTCGTGAAGAAGGTGGGGAGGCACCCTGCCAATCATTTTGGGGGGGGTGGGGGTTGTGGCGCCCTTTGGGCGGGTGGGGTGATGGGAATAATAGCGCTCAGAAGCCCCATTCCTTTGTGCTGGACGTTGTCGAGAAGG